TGCATCAATACAGAGGCCAAGAGGGTCGTGAGGTTTGGGATTAACACGGACTCACTTAACATAATTGGTTTTGTTTGTTATACAGCTAGCAATCCTGCTGTGATGAAGCGTTTGTTCTTTTCACAAGAAAAAAGGTCAAATCATTACCCCCGCCAAGAAGGTTTTCTTTTGCCTGTTGGTTTTTTGTTTGTTTGTCAGGATTACACAAAAATTACTGAAACAATTAGCATCAAACTTGGTGGAGGGAAGGGGTATGGACCATTGACGAACCCATTAATTTATGGTGTAGATCTGGTTTAAGGGGCAGATCCTAGACATTTTTTTTTGTAATCCTTTTCCTAAACATTGCGAGATTTTTCAACATTTGATCAATTTTCTCAGGAAATAATGTTTGGATGTTGATTTAACAAAAATCAGACACATTTATGGTGTTGAGAGCTGAGTTTGTACAGTTTGGTCCAGGGTTATAGATATGATATAGAATTGTTTGGCCTTGGGGTGGGGAGGGTATTTTTTTATTGTTACCTATGTCGAGATAATTGTCTCTATGAAACATTTTTGTCATTTCTTGGGAAATAATGTTTGGATCCTGAAAAAAACCTGACTATTTATGGTGTTGAGAGCTGAGTTTGTACATCATAACCCAGATAATAATCTTGCCTTGATGGAGATATGCGCTCTACTGAGTGCCATTCTAGTTGCCATTGTAGTTTTGCACATCTTGGTGCATTTCTCTTGTCACCACATTGTCATTTGTGTCATTAAATCAGCCTATGCATTCTAGGGGTGGAGTGTTTTGTCCACACCCTGTAGTATAATGCTGTTTGGATGTGCGGTATGAAAAACTTCTAGCTGCCCTTAGCTTCACATAACTGCGTCTACAGTGTGCAAATGGAGGCCAAGCCAGATAAAGGAAATGACCTCAAAACACAAGGCTTTCTAAGGAGACAGATATTCATCACACTCAAAGTCAGACTGTCAGACTCACAGTGTCTTTCAGTGTTACTTTTATTCGCAAGCTCTGGTTTACTCACAGTTGTGTGGTGTTAACCTAAACGAACCAACTATGTAAATCCCATTCAAAACACAAAAACCAACAATGTGTTAATCCGTCTCTCACTGCATCATGACTGCATAACCCTGTCTGTGGCTCTTAGCTCCAAACCCATTGGTTCCTGCTGAAGACGTAAACGTTTAGGACACAAATATATAATTTCATTTTTTTAAAAAGCTGCAGTAAGTTCCTAAAACAGCTGCTCACTGTAGTTTTTTAACAAACATTACTCAAACATGAGGAAATAGTGCATTTGTTGGGGACTACTTCCAGTGGTGGATGAATCCACACTGATGTTTTTTAGTAGTTTTTGGAAACAGTGGAGCTCTATGGCTCAGATATATCAGGCTCTGTTAGTAGGAGACACAGTATTGGTTTGGATGCACATGGGAATTAATATACTTTATCACTGAAACTAAATGTCATCCCTTTGAACACAGTGAAATGGATTATGAGGACTGAGCTGAAGGATTGTCACAGCAACATCAATGCCATTTAGATTTTAGCAGAATTTAAGCAGCATCAATAATGAATCCATCATCTTAAATATGGTTCACTTTGAGTGTCAGTACATCATGCAGACCAATGACTAATCAGCTCATTACTGATCTTTAATGATCTCTCATTTCTGATGATTGCAATCAGTCATAACAGCTTCATAGTTCTTGTGAAGAAGAATCATAGGGTGTGAGTGTGTTTGTTCCACAGTAAGTGGAAAATAGTTTTGCATGTTTGTACAGTGTGTGTCTGTGTGTAATGTTATCGGTGAATGCTCTATAGAAATGAATGAAGTATGAGAAATGAGAGTGACTGACCATATTTTGTGTGTTTGGGGATACGAAGGAACAGAGTTACTGCAATGATGTCATGAACAGATACTGTGTGTGTGGTTTTCCTGTTACACAGCAGATGAACAGTTTCCCTCTCTTCTGACTTATCCACTGTTTGAACAGACACCTCACTTCACAGAATGACTGCTCAGACTTTCAGGGGCTGTGGTTGGTCCTGGTATCAGCACACTAGAGAGATAAATGCTATGTACTCTTTGGATGGAAAAGTAAAGCACCAGTATATTTGTATGTTGTGAAGTCAGTTAACTAAATCTTTTCCTTTTGACTGATTTCATACCTTCCATTGGGAGACAGCTTGTATGGTATGAAAGTCAACTCTTAGAGACTTGATGTTGGTAATTGATCAGCAGCACCTTTGTGACAGACCCAGTTATTTTTAGGCATGCAGAGAATTGGATAGTAACTTCAGCTCAAATACTTTCTCCACTGGGGTTTGTTTTGGATCTGATGTTTTCACAGATTGTTTATATGGGTGATGAAGATTTGTGCTATTTCCACAGTACTTCACCTTCATTTTGCATTTTACACATGGCTTCACTTTTGACCAGCGCTTCACTGTCATTTTTTTATGCTATTGCCTACAGTGGACCTACAATGGACCACCTGCTGCAAATATTTTTTGTCTTTTGCGTGGGCAGATCTGCACCAGGCTGGTGAGGTGAAAGCTACACATGAACACGGCAAAAGGTCATAGACTGTAAAAAGCATATATTAAAAGGTCAGTGTCAGGATTTTATTTATATTGGATCATTAAACTCTGCATTAATGATATTATTATTAATGTTGCATCCAAATATCTTTTTGGAGATAAGATATTCAATTTTAGAAATCACCCAAGCTCATATTAGTTAGTCATAGTTCATATTCATGTACATTTCATAGTACATGAAGTCCTGCACAATGACAACGTCCCGTTCACTGATTGGTGAGCAGCAGATTACACTGCAGTCCAATTAAACTGGTCCTTCAGTTGTCTCAGCTTCAGGTGGAGGAATAACCCACAGTACATGAGCATTAGAAAAGACAGTGAGCTGTTTGAAGAATCACAGAGGACAAAGTGTGACAGGAAGAGCAGACGGATGAGAGAGCAGGAAACTGCAGAGAGAGCAGATATAATAATGTTCTGGAGTTACATAATACTGTCTGGGAGGTGTGTCAGTGTGTGTATCTGTCAGAGAGATCAGCAGTATGGACACACCCACAAGTCTCTGGCACATTTTTGCACCATATTCAATTTTATTTTTTAACATATTTGAGAAAATGTTTGCTCATCTTTTTGGAGGGAAACATGGTCGTTACATTCTACATATTTCAAATGTGTAAATGTCATCAGCACTGCCAGTATTAGAGATTTATCTCATCCAGGTCTAAACTATATCACCACACTCTAGATATCTAACAGGCAGGGCTCTGGGTGTACAGAGGCCTGATGAAGGCTTCTGATCTTCAGCCTGGTGACTCTGATCACAGCAGCTGGGACACCTTCACAGGGATGAGCCTGCTGTCTGTACATTCACACAGTCCATCCACCAACAGAGACATGATCCTGACTGTGTTCTGGTGTCATCTAGACATTTAGACAGTGTGAGCCTGTTTAAACTAAACACAATGATCACATTGATGGTCCCCGGCAGTGTGAAAACAGCTGGATCATGTCCTCAGTCTCTCTGGTGGAGCTTTGTTAAATCTGAGAAAATAATCCCAGTGATGTCATAATGATGTCATCAGCCACATCTTTCTTTTTCTAAAATGAGAATATTTAAGATGTCTCATGCATCGTCATTTTTTCCACATTCATATATTTAATTTCTTTGGAAACCTATCCTATTTAAAATGAATTGTGTTTGAACAAAGTTGGGCGGCACAGAATGAGTTTATAATGACTGCAGGCCTGTGGGGTTTTTAAGCAAAGATACACAAACAAGCACAAATGCCCATGCTCCAATTCAGCTGATATATGTGAACTAGGGATGGGTACAGAAACCATGTTAAACGGGCCCAGGTACTCAATCATTAAAGACCATAGTATCAATAAGGTCAGACGTTCTCGGTTCTGCTCTTGATATTGAAGAAATTAAGAAAATACATTTCCTGTTTATTATTGATACATAACGCTTAAGTGCAACATCTCTTGCTTGTAAGAGCAGAAAATAGAACAATCTGTTGAAACATCTGTTGAAAGTCTGTCACATACAGGCAGGCATGTGCACTGTTCAACCACCTGGCTCGTACTTCATCTGTTGTTGTATATATGTTATGTATGCTAGCAGCCTGGAGCCACACTTGGAGTTAATTCAATTATGCAAATGTAGGTTAATTATTACAAACATGGGTTAATGATGAAAAATAACAATTAGTATTTTGCTCAACAATGCTGCTGTAGTTTGCTTCTTAAGATTATTCATTTATATAGCCTAGAGTACATGTTAACTCTGTTCCCTTTTTTTGTCTTTAAAAATAACAAACAAAAGATAAGAGAAGTGTTAAAGAACTGGATCAAAAAACAGTATCAGTAAGAGTATTAGTACCATTCAAATCATAATGATACCCATCCCTAGAGTTTACCTGTCATATCTGTTGTTTCTGATTGATTGGAACCCCTCTGGAGTTTGACTGTGATAAACATGTGGTCTGTTTGTTGCTGTGTAAATGCTCCTGCTTAGTCTAACTGTGAAGAGCCTCTCACTAACACTGAACATCAGCTATCACCTCACCCCTGACTCCATCATTAAGTCACTGAGATGTTCATATCTGAAACGGCTCCTTTTACTCACCAAACATCACCTCAGGTCACAGACACTTCTGCACAGAGTGTGACACTTTGTGTCTAACACACTGCACATTTTAACCTCCATTATTGTTCATGGTATAGTCAACAATACAGACAACAGTGAAAAGTAAAAAGTGCTGTTTCAGAATGTGTGTTATGTCTTAAATGTCTCGCTTTGTTGTGATATTGATATATGTCATGTTCATGCTCAACTCATTCCCATGCATTTATTAATGTGCTTTTCCATGTGCATTTGTTTTGACATTGCCCTTGTTTTTTTGTTTGTTTTGTGGTCCATGTTTTTCTGCATGCTGCTCGTCCATAGCTTTGTACCAGTGGCTAGAAGCAGACCGGCAGGGCAGGGATCCAGATACTGCAGCCACAGGTAAAAAGTGCTACACCTCACACTGTCTGTCTGCTTTTACTCAGTCAGCTGCTCTCTTCTACAGATACACCTTAGAAACTAATGAAACATGATGTCAGCCTTGGCCCAGTAAAACCATTTCACCGTAGGATCTTCACAAAATCTCTTCAGACTGTTTCTCACATGTTTCACACTTTAATGTTTAAACCTGTTTTTCTCTCAGATGGCACTGAGACAGCCTCAACTTCACAAGTCACGCTGTTTGGTAACATACAGCTGAAGATAGCATGCAAACAGGTTAAATGAAAACTGTTCAGGGTTGGGTTTTGATAGCATTTTATCAAATCTAAGTCCTCCCTCATGGAATCCTCATTCATTTTGCATTATGAAGGTCACGCTGTGACGGTGGTATGAAGGTAAATGTGTTGTTTGATTATAAAGCAGGTTCTATATTAATACTGTGAAAGTATCAAAGCGCTCAGTCCACAGAGAAATGCACACATGCTTTATTTAGAAACTGAGCCTTAAAACCAGCCTTCAGGACTTCTGGAACTTTGTGATGTCACAAAAAAGCAGTCACCACTCTTAGCCATGCTCCAAGACCCGCCCACCTGGACCCACCATCCAAACTTGCAGGATTTGGTTTTTCTGAGTGTTTACCTGAAATCTTCTATATTCGTATTGGATCATTCAGAAAACAGTCAGTCAATCAGAGGAGGTGCTTAGAGCCTCCTCTCTTCTCAGAAGAGAGACTCAGAGCCTCCTCTCTTCTGATTGGCTCACTGACCTGTTGTTATTAGAGCTCCAGAGAGAAGCCTGAGAGAGGAGATGTGAAACTACACTGAGATGGTTTTTGGTTTTTAAAACCACAAATATATCTTCTTATGGATCAACACTTCAAATAAAACACAGAAGAAGAGGAAAGTATGTAGCTTTAAAAATAACTAAATGTCAACACAGAAACACCAGAGATTTTAGAGGCACTCTGATTAATGTTCAGAACCTGTTGCTAAAGTCTGACAATGAGATGAACATTTGATGCTGTATCTGACACATTGAGAGAAAAGGTAGGAACTATACTTGCACAATAACCTACAATAACCTAACCATAACCTTATTTTTAATAAGGTCCTTGCTCTAGATAAGAATGGTCCTTCATTCAGAACTATATGACAGTATGAACTACATTTAACCTTAGAACAAGAGGAGTGTTCACCTGAAGGATTTCTACATTTCTGTGCTAATAAAAACCTTTGACAACAACAAGCTGCTTCCTGTTTGCTTTGAAGGAGCTATTTGTAAGTTTTGCTATTGCTACATAGACAACCTTAGCATTAACAGCTGTTTACCAGTTTCCAGATTAATATATATATTTAAAATGTAAGAAATATCTTCTAATTATCAACCACATGAACATTCTCTTTCTTTCTTCATTTGTATATGTAGAGGCACATAAGATTGTTTTAAAGTATTTGCATTTAGCAATACAAATGGTTGCCAGCAAATAAATGGAGGGACACCACTTCCTGCCCACTGGTTGTCACCTGACAAGGTGCTGACCAATGGGGATGCAGCCGTGTAACACCTGCCCAGATGAGAGCTTCATGTTACGACTGAAACTGAAAAATTCAAATGGCTGCGAAACTGAAAGTGAAAAGTGGAGGCAAATGAAAAATCCCTCAGTGAAAGAAACCTAGAGAACATGGTGATTAACTCTTGTGTAGTTTTAGTTTAAGTTTTTAGTTAAGATTTTTGGTTTCAAATGACTTTTATTCACGTTCAATTTCATATTTTTGTTTGATTATTGGGAAGTTTCGCTCAATTGCTTGACACAAATCTAATCCCATAGGTTAAAGGCCTAGTGATATTCTATATTTTTCTCACAGTCAATAAATCTGATGCACAGATCCAAACCAACAATGATCTTACTCATATGTGTGTGTCAAAGCCTGATCTGAGGCCACTAATAGGCGGGCCGCAGTCCGGGTCCAGACCCAGATGCCGTCCTTTCTGGAACCAGACCTATAACGTTTAAATGATTAAGAATTAGTGAAGTGGTTTTGTTTGTACTGGCAGCTTTTCTAGTCACTGGTTTAGCAGCCCAGGATCTCATGTGTTGCAACTCATCTCATGTGATGCTACTCAGCCAATCATTACACCTGGAATATCAGATATCAGAGGGAAAGAAAGCATGTGTTAAAGCTGTCCATGTTAAGATGTGTTGAGATTGTTTATTATAAATATGGTTGGTTATTGTTGTTGGTTAAGATGTAAACAGAGGTAACAAAACCCATGTCCATCTATTTTCAGGTCATTATTTCAGTCTCTGGTCATGAATGCAAGTTCACTTTTATCTTATATAGAAAGAGGCCTGGAACAGAGACCATGTTCTCCAGTGTCTTTTTGTTAGTTTAAAAAACTTTATCTGGACATATCTAATATATTTATATTTCTTACATATTGGATCAAGTTAAATTAACAACAGTAACAATGCCTTGACTGTCCCACAACTCAAAGCCCCTTCCTGTGGTACCAGAAGAGAAGTGTATGTCACCCAACACTGTGAGAGGGAGGACGTGTATCCTGCCTGGCTTTAATAGTTGTGTTGATAATGATATCATAATAATAATCATATTCTCCCCAATAAAAGTTTGAAACTTTAGTTTAGAGGTAAACAGGAGACCACTGATTAACCCGAGAAGATTCACAGAAACAGGTTCACTTTTCATTTTTAATCCAGTCAGCGATGTAGCATAGCTGGTACAGCCCAACATCAGGAACTTAGAGACCACCTTTTTCCATAAATCTAACTGGTGGTGGTTGCAGCACAAATGTGACAATTTAATGCTTCTCTTTGTCATACAACATAGAAAACTGAAAACCTCTGAAGAGCTCACCTTGGGCTGCGACAAATGATACTGAGCATCTGTGCTGTTTTCTGACATTTTATAGACAAAGTAATTAATGGATTTAATAAAGACAATGATCAGCTGATTAAGTGATTTCAGCCCTGCTGAAAGACCTGCGCAGGAAGCGTTGACTCTCAATGCTGAACAGTGAATAAACAAAACTGTAAAGTGGACAGATTACAGCAGAGCCTGGCAGTCCTGCACTGTGCTGCGGGACCGCACGCCAGAGGGGTAAACATTCTGTCTAACTGTCTCTCACCACTCAGACTTCTAGTCTGAACTCTCGTACCAGACAGAGATGAAGCTGGTCCCTCGTTTGTGCCTCAGTAGAATATTGTGTGGGTAGGAGGGACGAGGTTTGCAGGAAGTGCAGGCAGTGCTCGGCTCTCTTGATCAGGGAGGTGGTGTTTACAGTTTGTTGGATCTCTTCCTCTCTGTGCACTGTGTTGAGACAAACTTGATTATGTGTTTTGTGTCGTATTTGGCACAACAGTCATGGAACAGCAGTGGAACTGGGGTGCAGCCCTGGGAGGTGTTTGTTCTCAGAATGATGGTTTTGGAAGTGTTTTCTGACTGGGGTCTGTCTATGAGGAAGGTGGATGTCTTGGGGGATGATTGCATTGAATTCCAAGCTGAAGTCTTTGAAAAGCATCAGACTTTCCTGTGCTGATGATATGGTGTAGCCAGTGGAGTGGGCTGGGCAGTATGCAACTGGAACAGGTCAGAGAGTCTGAGTGTTATGTGGTCCTTCAGCTCTCTCTCAGAGTACTTCATCATCATCATGGACTGTGTACAATATTAACCCCGTTTCAAATAAAGGCATCTGTATTTGAGATAAGTTATTATACTCATCGTGTTTGCCACATAAAAAAAAACTTTTCACAAGACCTTGCTCTGGAATAATCTGTGATAACATGCTGATCTCACTCTGATCATAAGGAGGTCCAAGAAAACCCTGTCTGCTGTATTGACTGTATTGACTGTCTATAGTCAATACACCAGCTCTTCCATTCACTTCTCTGAAATCAGTGCAGGTTCGAGATGTGGTCACTGAAAGGAAATGAGATGTCTGTGGATTAACCACAGAAAGTAATCACAGAGCTGCAGGTTGGAATCCCAGGACCAGGCATCATCAGCACTTCATCAGGGAAAAAATCCAACCCTTTGAGTCAGTTTCAGCAGGTTGAGTCAGCAAGTTTTCAACCTGCTGATTTAATTCAATTCAACTTTGTTTGTATAGCATCAAATCATAATACACATTATCTCATGGCACTTTACAGGGTAAGGTCTCAACCTTACTTTATTATAGAGAGAAACCTAAAAGTTCCCACAAAGAGCAATTTGGCACTTGGCGACAGGGGAGGAAAAACTCCCTTTAACAGGAAGAAACCCTAAAAGAACCGGACTCAGGGTGCGGGGTTGTGTGCCTCGACCAGTTGGGTTTGGGAGGAGGAAGATGGGGTGAGGGAAGAGAGAGAGAGAGAGAGAGAGACCATGGACAGCAGTGTACACTGTTGATTGTTTATTGTAACAGTGAAAATAATAACAGTTATACCCATAGGCAATGGTTTTTATCATATCTGCTGTTAATTGTTTAATACCTATAGATAGTAATGTTATCAGTAATACTTATAAATAATAATAATGATAATAATAATGTGTTGTGGTGACAGATCTGGATCCTACTGCTCCAAAAACAAAGATACCTGCAGAATGAAGAGAGAGAGAGAGAGGGAGAGAGAGAGAGAGAGAGAGAGAGAGAGAGCTCAGTGCATCATGAGAATCCCCCAGCAGTCTAGGTCTATAGCAGCATAACGGATAACAAGCCAGCCCTAATTATAAGCCCTAAGAGGACAGTTTAGTTTTAAGCCTGTTCTTAAAAGTAAAGAGGGTGTCTGCCTCCTGGACCCAAACTGGGATCTTCTTCCACAAGAGAGGAGCCCATTCTAGTCTTAGAAACTCTAGGAACCACAAGTAGACTTGCGTTTTGAGAGCGGAGTGTTCTTTGCAGATAATAGGGAACTATGAGCTCATTAAGATACGAAGGTGTCTGACCATTAATGACTTTGTAGGTGAGGAGGAGGATTTTACCGGGAGCCAATGTAGAGAAGCCAAAACAGGAGAGATGTGATCTCTTTTCCTAGTTCCTGTCAGAACCCGCGCTGAGGAATTTTGAATCAGCTGGAGGCTTTTTACTGAGTTATTGGGAAATCCTGATAATAAAGAATTACAGTAGTCCAGTCTAGAGGTAACACGTGTATGGACTAGTTTTTCAGCATCCTTTAGAGACAGGATGTTTCTAATCTTCACAATGTTGTGCAGCTGGAAGAAAGCTGTCCTAGAGACTTGTTTTATGTGTGAGGTAAAAGACATGTCCCTGCAAAAATGACCCCAAGGTTTCCTACTGTAGCACTGGAGTCCAGAATAATGCAATCCAGAGTAAGTATAATATCAGATAATGAGTCTCTGATGTGTTTAGGGCCAAATACAATATCATCAGTTTTGTCTGAGTTAAGAAACAAAAATTGCTGGTCATCCAGGTCTTTATGCCTTTAATACACGCCTGAATTTTGAAGTTTGACCAACTGATATGCCCTTTAGCAAGACTGTGAACCCCTTCCAGCTGATTAGTTGATCTGTGTGATTAGTCTGTAGTTGTGGTTGTTCTGGCTCAGGCTCTGTTATGCTTTCAGAACTTGATGACCATTTGCGATGCAAACAGTTTTGACCTTGTAGTGCCACAATTAGGCCAATCATTTGTTAATGAGGCTAGGGCTAAACGAGCACATCTGTGATACTAGCACATCTCTGAGGCTCTTTTTCGGCATGGCAGTGCTTTGAACTAAATGCTAATGTAAGCATGCTAACATGCTGATTTTTGTTTAAAATACTGTAGCTTTAATTTCTTCACCTTTATCCCTGCATCTCTTATTCAGTTCTTTCAGCTATTGAGTGATGTTCTTACTACCATTATACCATAATACTGCACACATCTCCTTTTCTGTTGGCATTGGTGCTTTTGTGCTTCTCCTTCTGCTCCGCTAACTATTGGAGAAAGACTAGTTTGCTGCAACCTATGATATGTTAAAGTAACCCTTTAGCGTCATACTCTCATGCTGTTCTGTTGTGTAGAATATTGATATTTTATATTTTCTTACATTTCCCTGATTGTTTCCCACCAGTCCCACCTGATTATTTTGCCTTCTCTCTCCAGGTGAAAACTTTGAACAAAGTCCCCTGAAGAGGACATTCAAGTCCAAAGTTCTGGCGCGCTACCCTGAGAATGTGGAGTGGAACCCTTTCGACCAGGATGCTGTCAACATGGTACGTGGCAACTATAGTGAAGATGGATGGTACCATTATAGGGGGCAAAGGTAATCCAGTAAATCAGTATGATATCAGACGCAGTGACATCTTAGTTAAATTGATCCCCGTCTCTACTTCAGAGGAATATTTAATAACCTCCAGGGTTTTTCCTCACTCTGTAGAGTTGCCACCTTTTATGTAAAAAAAGGTGTCAGCTGGTTTGGTTTTACTTGAAATTACATTATTCACAGCACTTTGAGGACATGAACCAAAATACGGGACAAATTGCATCTTGTATTGATTCAAATCCACCGAGTTCTGAGAAAACAATTACTAGAATTTTGTTGGGAGGCGCAGGCGGCACGAAATTTGACTGAGGCGGCCGCCTCCCAATTCTCTATGCAGGACAAACCCTGACCTCCATCTACTAACACAGGACTAATGTAGTGACTGACAATCACACAATATTGGTCAAAGTGGATCAAACGTTTTTGTAACAATGCCATGCTGACTCATAGTCTCCCTCACGCTCAAACACGTTGAGAGACCCCCGAACAGGGCTGGTTGGATTAACACAGGTCTAAATTATCAGCTCCTCCCAACAGGCTCATTGAAATGGTGTAATCCTAGGAGTAGATATCAGTGTGATAGTTTTAGTGAGAGAGAGTGAAAAGGGATAAACAACAAAATGTCCCTAGCATGACCTTTTTAATGACGTCCTGCTGTGTCCACTACAAAGCCCTGGATTAAGACACATAGGACTCACATCTCACACAGGACTTTCTCAAGGGAGCAGTGATGAAGCACCTCCTATCTCTGTGGAGTTGCACCGAGAGCTTTGCATGACCACCTTTCCTATTCAGATTTGAACAGATGAACAAATACAAAGTTGACTCACATGGGATCAGAAAACACAAACATCAAACACACACTTGGATCAGTGGAAGTCATCGAGTAAACACTGTCTCCCTCCACATTGAGGAATATTAATACCCCATCTGGATTATTAAATACACTTCATGCTTTATTATTTGAACAGATAAACTGATACATATGCAGAGTAGCAGTAGAAAACAATTTAACAGTGAGAATGATGCGGTCTAAACTGTTCCAGTGAAGCCTCCTTCTAGTGTCAGTGTGAATCTAACTCATTGTGTGAAATCAACAGATACAGAGAAAGTATTTCATGTGGGGACTCGACCACCCTGGTGGACTATGGGTTAAAGTGTTGACTATGAACTTCAGGTCAGGGCCTTTGTTGTATGTTCTTCTGATTTGATTTCCCCTCAAGTATATCAATGATCAGTCCTTTTTGTTTTTGGAAAGTGTGATTGTTTGAGGCTCTGCTGAAGTTGCTACATTGTCAGTATAGTGACCAGAAAGGTGTGTGTGTGTGTATGTGTGTGTGTGTTGTGGCTCTGGGTGTTGCCCACTCACAATTGAAGGTCACTGCTTATTTTTCCACTTGCCTGGTGTCAGCACTGCTAAATAATTCAGCCGTGGTTCTCGTCTTGCATCAGGATGGAAACAGCTTTTATGCAGCGACGGAAACTTGACACATGGATGACTGTGGACTGCTGATGATGACAATTACGAGACATCCTCTGGAAACAGACACATTTCTCTCGCTTTCTTCCTGCTGATTACTTCAGCTTCTCTTTCCCTCTCTTCCTCCTCCATCACACCTCTATCACCTGCTCATCCCATCATCCTCTCACCCCAGGACACCCAATGATATATTGCATTCATTTACTCATGCCCCACAAAAACAAACTGAAACTGAGGACATTTCAGGTTCCTCAGCAGGGTTACACATTGAGTCATGAGGCTCAGCTGAACAAGTGTCTCGAATCCACACCAGGATTGCTGGTCCTGGGGTGTTTGTAGGAGCTGAAATCAGATGAAAACAGTCAACATCTAACGCTATGTCCACACTACAACGTTTTAGTTTTAAAACTCATCTCTTCCGCTACATTTACTTCAACGTCCACACGACTCTGGAGTTTTCAGCCCCTAAAACAGACACTTTCAAAAAATAAAACCCAGTTTTATTTAGAAAACTCTGGGGTTGTGTTGTAGTCTGGAAGGACACAAACTTTGGAAACAATGACATACATACCCACAGTCGCTCCTGATTGGGTCTTATCAGCGTCGACTGCCAGTGGTGACTATAATATCACTGAATCAATGATCAATGATAATGAATTACAAGTGTTACTGAACTTGTTGTCTTTGCTAGCAGCTGTTGTTCAGTTACATTCTGTATTTTAATGCTACAACTGTCTTTGTTGAGTTAGGGCTGACTGTAGTCCTACTGTTACAATTCAACATTTCAACACAGTTCACCATCTTAAGATTGAAAAACAATCAGCATGTTTCTTCACAGTTCTACCCACAGAGAAATAGGGGTATCGTTTTGGTACCTCAAGGTACATTTTTCAGAAAAGTACCCTGTAAGGTACTGAAATGGTCCTTAGGGTGATAACTGTGGACCTTTTGTTTCAATTTAAAGGTACAAAATCATTGCAGTAGAAATGTACGGCAAAGTTTTAACAAGATGAAGATTCAGGCAGATAACGCTGCAAATCAGTGATTACAACATCTTGATTTATGGATAGTTGGTTTTGTTGTAATAAAACAGGCGACAATTTCCAGACAATTCTTGGTCTTGGAGTAATTTTATCAGCTTCAGTAACAACACAGCTGGGTGTGTGTTTTAGTGATTTCAGCTAGTCTTTACATTGTTCTAACCGTTTTAATAATATTGTAGGGTCATGAGGCAGGCTTATAAAGCCAGTGTTAAAACACTGAATTAATTGAACCTAATACAGTATGTGGGTTATGACTTTGCATTTTGGAACTTCTCCTAAGGACAAATCAGCTCTATCAGAATACATTGAAATGCACTGAAAATGGATTAGTTTATATATAAACTGTTGTTTTTGTTAAAAGATGTAAACTAATTTTCAGTTTTTTTAAATAAATTTTTGTCAATAAGTATAAATGATTTTGTCTCTGAAAAAGGGGTATGTTTTGCATCATAAAGGTACAAAATGAAATGTCGCTCCAACTGTACCTCATGAGGTGCAAGTTCTTGGGGCGCCTCTGTGGCTCACCTGGTAGGGCATGTACCACTTGGGTTTAGTCCTTACCGCAGTGGCCATGGGTTCGAGTCCGCCGCACTGTCTTTTGTTGCATATCGTTCCCTCTCTCTCTCCCTGACTTTCCTGTCTCTCCCTCCCAAAATAAAAAGGTACCAGTTTAGTACCTTTCAACTGGGTATATTTTTGTACCAGGACATAAGGGTAAATTTTTGTCACTTAGGGTACAGAAACGTTCTTTTAAAGGTACAGACAAGAAGGTACAAAAATGTACCAATGGTTAAAGGTATAGTGCTGTACCCTGCTAGGCTACAGCTGGAGTGACAAAGCCTTTGTACCTTTTTAAGTCAATTCCTGTACTTTCATTTCTTAGTGTGTAGGTAAAAGTGGGCCTATACTTGGTTAGCAGCCCTCCATAAATGATAGGAACACAACAAAAGGTTGGGGTTGTACTGTTGCAGTTCTTCACTTTTGAAGTCCATATAAAGGAAACTTGGGTTCACTACAAAAACAACAGTGTCTTCTCAACATGAAAACAAGCCAAAAAAAACTCTTTGTATGAAACTATAGGTGGCCATTTTACTTAGTGACATAGACACTTTACAGAAGAGACCCCAGGAATGGAAATAAGGTGTTTGCTGGACTTCAGGGTTTTCTGCAGAGAGAAGGACTCACTTGACTCTGGGTTTTATAACTTAATGAACTTGTACATGCACAAAAAAAGCTAGAAAACAATAAAGGAAAAGAAGGAATATGGGCTCTTTCATGGAGACTGATTGACTGAATATCTGAGGTCTAGATGATGAATTTATTGAGTTTACTTTGTGTATTTTATGCCTTTAGGAACCATTGATATCTACCATCCCAGTAAACACACACACACCAGTCACCACTAATAGGATCACTTCAGTCGATCATGTAGGAGCTATAGAGATTCTGAAGAGATGTGAAATCTTCTTGTCTTTTTGTGGATGGTTGGATGACATGTCCACACTGAGAGCTCCAGTCAACCTCCAGTCCAGCAACAGATAAAGCTGAGAAGCTTGAGAAGTTTTGCTGCAATGTAAACACAGTTAGCTCCTCCTCTGCTCCTGTTGTCCTCATTTCTTTCTCACATCAACAGTGTTTACATGAAAACAGCTGAATCAGCTCCTTTTAAACTGTGACTGCTGCAGTCCTGGAGGTCAGATGTGTATTTGTTCACACAGGAACATCACTTCTGATCTGTCACATTTATGTTGCTCGGGGATCCTGAACGCGCCCCAGCTCATGCTGCAATCCTGAACGTGCCCCAGCTCGTGCTGCTGCCAAATTAAACAAAATGTTTCTCACTGTTGTCTTTGATCTCATCACCTTCCTCACACTTCCAAACACTAGTGCACCCCACCACCCCCACGCCCTTCCTCCACCCCTCACCCCTCAAAAAAAAATAAAATAAAAAATGTGGTGGTGGTGATGACTAATGTCAGATGGAGGCTGGGTGTGGAGAAGAGACTGTCTGTCAGCACTGATCAGTGAAACACATGACTTATGCATAATCCAATCAGGTCACCAGGCGTGTGTGTGTGTGTGTGTGTTCAGTCAGTTCCTTATCAGCGGCCACTTCAACCATAATGAGGCTGATAAGGGAGATTTATTATACACTGGGTGTTTACATCAACAGTGTGTGTGTTTGACTCAGTTTGGCTGTGAAAGCACAAACATTCCATTACAAACATTATTTACACGTGTAGAGCTGCAGCTAATTATTTTCATTATTGATTTATCTGCAGGTAAACATGGTTGAATAATTCAAAAACTATAAAGGCTACAAGACAGAAACTTTATGAACAGCTTCTCCATAATTCAATGCTTCATGCACACAGAAATATTAGCATAGTGCCACCATGTGGTGAGAAATTTGGTGACAAAAATTTTTGTCTAGTATCTCAGCAACTGTGAGTGGATGATGCTGAAGAGAAACAATAAACTAGTTCAGACTTTTATCTCTGTAATTCCAGTCATTTGTTAAACATGTGCATAGAATTTGAAAATTTGCAACTGAGGCACCCTCCAGTGGTGGTATCAAGTGCATGCTGCAACAGATCTGACCCAGTGCCACCGCAGCAGTTTTCACCAGAGTCCCACAGACAAAAACATTTGCCATCAGAAAATGTTAAAGATGATATAATTATAGAAAATAGTCGTTTTAATTAGAATTGACAGTAGATTGACAGTTGAAGTAATGACTAACCCGTGTCCCCTACCCTCTCCCTGCAGCTGTGTATGCCTAAAGGCCTTTCATTCCGGACACAGGCGGACCAGCGTCACCCTCGCTTTCATTCCTTCATCATCACCAAGGAGGATGGCTCTCGTACTTATGGCTTCGTCCACACTTTTTACGAGGAGGTGACCAGCCCACAGATTTGTTCTGCCATGCAGACCCTCTACCAGATGCACAATGCAGAGCACGCCTCCACCAACCCCCCTTCCTCCTCCTCCTCCTCCTCCTCCTCCTCCTCCTCCAGCATGGACTCTCTGGCCAGCAGTTTAGACGAGGCTGACTCCCCCACCTCCTCATCTGCCTCGTCTTCATCTCGTGCGGCTGGGGGGTATGACTCATCGCGTGACACCCTCTATGTGTCCAAAGCTTTGTGCCTGATAACCCCCATGCCGTTCATGCATGCCTGCCGCCACTTCCTGTCACAGCTGCACAGGGCTGTTACAGTAGCCACTGCCCCCCCGTTGCCACTAGAGAGCTACGTTCACAACATCCTGTATGAGGTGCCCCTACCCGCCCCAGGCCGCACACTCAAGTTCCACGGTGTCTACGAGCCCATCCTGTGCCAGAGGCCTGGGCTGGGGGAGCTGCCGCTGGCTGACTTCCCCCTGGCTGAGTCCTTCAATCTGCTGGGAGTGGAAAACCTGGTCCAGGTGTTCACCTGCACCCTGCTGGAGATGCAGATCCTCCTGTATTCACAGGGTAAGTCCAGCTCCACATAATGTGTTGATATTATAGATTTAGTTAATATGTAGAACTTGTTTTCACACTGTATAATTACAATCTATACACATATAAAAGATTACTTAATAAAAGATCACCGTCCCAACAGTTCAGCAAACAGATTTAGTTGTTTACCTTTTGATTTCATGCAGAAATCATCTTGCATCATGAAGTACTGTGGTTTGTCCGTTTAGTTTTTCCATGATAAAGTACAGGATTTCACACTCTGAGGTGCACCTGGTGAGTGACTGTGCGCTAAAAACAACAGGAAGTTAGTTATTGTAGTTTGGCTCAGATATCAACATGGTCAGCAGATGCAGCGGCAGCAGTGGCTGTGACACACAGTTGATAGAGGCTATCATTGTACCATAGTTTACCTCGGTCAAATCTGAGCAAACAGACATGATACACAGTGATTCAGTGTGACGCACATTCCTGTGGATATTCATTGTCTGTTAAAATTATACATCCAAACATCTTTTTATAAATCATAACACAGACATTTCTTTAAGTATCACAGTAATCCAGTGATAGTTGTCTGAACATCATGATACACTACAGACAGGAGCTGATCGCAGCTGATTCAGCTGCTGGTAATGGGACAGTTTGAATTTAGAGTATGAAGTAGTGCAAAAAAAAAAAATAGGACTGACAATCGACTGACATCAATATTCATATATTTCATGTTGCACTACAAATATTCTTTAGTTCAGGTAAGTGCTGCTGCTGTGTGGCTGTAGAGGTGGGAAGTGAGGAAGTTCAGCTGTGTTTGTGCAGCCCAAGTTCAAAGTATTTTACATCAATATGAAGAAGAGAAGTCTCACAGGCTCTGAAATTAACTTCATGTTGGAATAAGTGTCAGATTAGCAGGCAGACTGTGCTCTGAACATCTGTACAGGCCTTCTCCTTCATGTCAGTCAGACCACCATGCCTCTGATGAAGACACAATATATGAGAAATTGAGACCTGTCAGTCACTGAAACTTATTCCTTCATTCAGTTTTCTAGCAGTTAATATGTGAATAGTTGATGCAGTACAGACAGTAGTTGAGATGCACAGGGATCAGATTTTCCACGTTCTAGGTTTCCCTTCATCCATTATTCACAGCTGCAGTGAGACTGTCGTAGCAGTGTGTGTTGCTGGTTGTATTACACCAACATAATGTGAAGCAACTTTGGACCAATATAGACTGATATCACCTTTCATTCTCTGTCCTCCTCTGTTTCAGTGTCACTCCTCCAGTCTGCAGCTCACTCTGTAACACTTTCTCTGCAGCTTGTTTATCTTCTGAGCACAATGAGTCATAAATAGAAAAGGTTAGCACCCACACCAGATCCACAACCCCAGAATAAAAGCCTGTCTGCAGTATTCTGTCCCTGTGGTGCAGTATAATGACAAAGGGTGAAAAACTCTCACTGTGCTGCTCTTCAAAAAGAATAAAAAAATTAGAGTACAGCCCAAACAACACTGCTAACAACACTGGCTGTTACCAAACTAATGGCTTTTCATCGCTTTAGTTTAGGAACTATAGACATATTTGCCATAGTATATGGTATGTGGGAGATTATGTCGTCATGCTGGCATCTGTGACACACACAAACTCAATAAATTCTGCCTTTCATCAAGTATGAAGCATCACAGTTTATGAGCTAAACAAATCCTCCGGCACACAGGCAGGGACAACTTGTTTTACAAGTTTTCCCTGTTTCCAACAGCAGCAGAAGTGATCAAGTGTAATCCTACATCATGGGAAACGTGAAATTCTTATTGACTTTCTTTGCAAGAATGAGACAAAAAGATCAGTGTCTCTCTGGTGTCTGGAGTCAGTCTGGTTGGCCTTTATGCTAAGCTAGGCCAGGCAGGGGAAAACGACTAACAGCTGTTTCCAAAGTTCAGAAACAACGATCAACACCTTGGATTTGCATTTCTGGAAGTTTGGTTGAAATTTGCACTAAATTTGGGTGGAAACTTGACTAGTATAGTTCCTAACTGACTCCTGACTTCCTAACTGACTTCCTAACCACTGTCTTGCTCATCAAACAAAAAACTTTTGCTGTGTGATGTAGTGCCACGTGCCACGACATTAGAGAGACGTTCATTATTTCAAGGCACATGAAATGCTGCAGGAAACCCTGCGAACTCCAACTCATACTAATGCACCGCCACAAGACTGATATCAACCGTCTTATCTCACTGTCAGCAAGAAAGCAAATGAGCGTATTTCCCAAAGTGATGAACTAATCCTCCTTTAAACACTGTTAAGTATGAGCAAAAACTGTGAACCAACAGGAAACAACAACCCACAGAAACTGAGGCTGCATCAGCAGAACATGAAAAGAAAAGGAAAGTACGTATGAAGAGCTGCTGAATGTAGGGAAATTGGAGTCTCTCTCGCTCTCTCTGTCTCTCATCCCATCGTCATTTGATAAAAAATGGGTCTCAGTTTTATCCATCGTCAGCATCAAAGCAATCTAGAGGAAAAAAATAAGAACCTGGAGTCATTTGAATGATGAACATCCCTGCTGTTTTTGGAGTGTTTATTAGTCATTAGTCTGGAGGCAGGTGACAGAAGAACCACACAGACCGTTCCCTGAATGTTAATGAGACACTGCTCTGCCATATGTTCCCACGCTCCTCATGATCAGTCAACAAGCAGTTACACCACAAACAGAGGCATCAGCTGAACCCCCCTACCTGTCCTCCTTACATACTCACTAGCTGTGAACAGGTAGGGGAAGAAAGTGACAGTCATGGGGCTTCAGTGTAGTTCATTTACAGTCCTGGCAGGTGCCCCGGAGCCTGGCTGCCCCGTAGAGGCTGTGGCGATCTCCAAAATTTGATATCCAGATACAGTCCACCCCAAATATCACAATTCCCAATATTATCAAGATTATTTTTTTAAATTATATTATTGTAGTTAATGTTACTGGTATAAGTGATGCTGCCACTAAACAGCAGTTTTAAGTTTTATTTGTCACATATCAAGGTAAAATTTATAGTAAAAAAAAAAAAAACTGAAACCAGACTAGTGGAAGCTGTTATAACAGCAGTTGCAGGGTTTTACCAGCTCAGCAAAGCTTTCCTGACCATCACACTGTACACACCCCAACAAATACTCACAAAGCATCTTGCTTCTGTGTTTCAGTGTATTCAGTGTTTAATGTGTCCAATTTCCACCATGTTGGTGCTGTGTTGATGTAATTTATGGTGTGTTCTCCCAGTACTACAGCTTTATTTCCTGCTTGTTTCTTCCATGTATTATGGGAACAGAGGATTTTACAAGCCTTTTTCATTTAGATTTTTTTTTTTGTCTTCCTTCCATACAGTAACTTTCAAACTCATTATCTGATTTATGATGCTACAACATTATCATGGTGCAGCTGCTAAACTCTACTGTGAACTGTTCACACTGTCTTCCCTTCTGAGACGAAGCTGCCGGTGTTTATCAGTCCGTGATGAACTGTTACAGTTTCACAATGACTCTATATGTCCCATCCTGCTTTTCAGCAGCGTGCACTATCCCTGAGCCCTGTCTCTGCCGGGGCTTTCTGCAGTGCCAGGCTTTGCCATATCAGATTTGTTTTCTTGTTTTTTTAAACATGCTTGCTATCGCATACCACCTATTGTAGGCTCACCTATCACAGATGCTTGTAATTTAAATATTTTTAGGGAAGTTTCTTTGGCAATGCAGCAAATGTTGTCAAAGATCAAGATGAATCAAACCGTATCAATTTGCATCTGTAATAAAAATGAATTAATTTAGTAAAGAGGAGAAGATGACATCACTCACTGTTCCTCTCTCATTATCTGCTTGTTAATACCCATGAGGCCTCACTGTGAGGAGGAAAGAGAGGCACTTTTTGAGACATGGTGTGTATGAAACCACCTGAGACACTGAGGCTACACTGATCCTGGTGTGTGAGTGAGAAGGGGAGTAGGTTGGGAGGATGTGCTGCGACATGCAAAAAGAAACAGAAGTGTTTGAGTCAGACTTTCTCAGTGCAGTTCCCACAGTGGTGTGTGTGTGGGTGTGTGGGAGAGACGTTAGCCTGTTCAGACTTGACAGATAAACACTATAGTCACACTAGCAGATCTGTGAGGCTGCTTGCTGTACAGAAAACTAGGTTCAGTCAAGGTACAGTCATGATGGTAGTGGTGCTTCTGCTGTGACAATTACAAGCTCTGTGAGGCTATACTGTACAGAGGTTGTTTGAGCTTAATACTAATGTCAGCATGCTAATATGGTCACAAGGACAATGTTAACATGCTAATGTTCAGCATATACTGCTTATTGTGGTGTAGCTGGTTAACATGTTAAGATTAGGTTATTAGCACTGAACAGGAAATTCTGATGGGGATGTTCTGCAGGTATCAAATCAAAAATTTGACCTGAAGATGGCGATAGATGAGATTCTAGGGTTTGTAATGTTTTCAAAATTCATCTGATGTGCTGTGTCCTAAAAATGATGGTTATTGAGAACCAAAGTGAAACCAGAACTTCCAGGTTCTGTTCCAAAAATAAGAAAACCTCATTCCAAATCCCATTTGAAACAACAGCCACTCTGGTTAACCAGAGGTTATGGTTAAGAACAGACCATGGTTTGGTTAATTATTGAAAAAGTCATCATGAATATTGACAGTATTTTAACACAGACCATGACCTCTCTCTAATCCTGCTGTTCTTACTGAGAACAGCTAAAACGACTTAAAAAAGAAGGAAGATAGAGCCTTTAATGTAAAAGTACCACAGGTGACAAATTATTACTTTGCTTCAGTCTTAAAGTCTGTGTTGGTGTCCTTTTAACCATATTCATGTATTCATGAATGTATGTATGTATTTATTTATTTTTCTGCAGAATTGGCTCAGTTTGGTAGAAAGTCCATTTGACTTGAAATTTGACACTTATCAAAATTTGTAACTTTTCAGAAAAGTAGTGAACTCCTCCTTTTAAAGTCAATTTAAATTTGTCAATTTTTCTCTAACAACATCTAAATCAACAAGAGCAAAGGAGCAACAGGCAATTGACAAGTGAACCAAAACACTGATATCAAAAATTTAACCTTTAATTATGCTCGTTACAGTGCAGCAAATCCCAAGAAACTACAGTGTAATGTATCATTACTCACCTGTATTGTCATGATACTATTGTTATGTCTATGTTGTATGGTAGCTGTTGTGACTGTGATGTTAAAAGTTAAATGTTCTGTCCTGAGCTCTTTATTGATATCTTTGATTGATAAAGTGTTCCTTAATTCTGAGGTTTTTCAGATTGCTTTTAAAAATAAAAGTTTCTTCTTCTTGTAGTCCGTCTCCTCAGATCTATGTCCTCATCAAAATTTATTTCTTGCTCTCAGACTACCAGCGGTTGATGACAGTGGCAGAGGGCATCACCACCCTGCTGTTTCCCTTTCAGTGGCAGCATGTCTACGTTCCCATCCTGCCAGCCTCCCTCCTCCACTTCCTGGATGCTCCTGTTCCCTACCTCATGGGCCTGCAGTCCAAGGAGGGCACTGACCGCTCCAAGCTAGAGCTTCCTCAGGAGGTACACAGCCACTCTACATGTTGTTGATAGTTAAAAATGTCCAGAGATGTTTAAAGCTCTTTTTACCCCAATGGAAAAAATGTTTTATTTTAATAGCAGCAGTATGTGACTCTTGGATTAAAACTGCTGTCAGCTCAGGCATCACAATGCCATTAGTTCAGTTATACTTTAGACTTACCTTCAACTTAGGAATGACTAAACACTGTTCAGGAGCAGACTTAAAAGGAATAATTCAGCATTTTGGAAAATATGCTTATCTGCTGTATTTACATGAAAAGATTAATATCATTAGCATTAATGTTGAAAGCACATAGGTGAGCTTTAGAGGTGTTTTCCCCCTGCTAACAGTTTTGATGCAAAGATAAGCTAAACACATTCTGACTGCATTTGTGTTAACAGACACACATTAAACATTCAAACATTCAGTGAGCCCTTTTACCTGCAGCGAAGCATCTGCATTTATTGTGTTTCTATACTCATTCATTCAAGTTTTACCTTTAATTTTCTCACCATATTTATGTATGTATGTATGTATGTATGTATGTATGTATGTATGTATGTATGTATGTAATGTATGTAATGTATGTATGAATATATGAATGTATGTATATATTGAAGTTCACGTCCACAGCTAAGAACTGCAAGTGTGAAAGTTCCTTGAGTTGATTTGGGGTTTTTACAGTTTTGGCACTCAGGACTGAGTGCCTGTGATTGGAGTTACAATTACTCTGTTGAGGCTTGTTAAATAAGTGTAAACTACAATATAGGGGTCCGACAAGTATAGTGAAACTGTAGTGCTGTAGGTGTGTGCATGCACAAGCTGCACTGAATAAGGGGCCGTTCAGATGTAGCACGTGTCCACAGTGCACAGAGATGGAAAAATCTCAACTTTTTCAAAACGCAGCAGGCGCACTTGCTTGTCATGTGAAAATAATTAACAAATCAGCTCCACAGGGCTGACTTAACCCTGTCCATCCATGGACTTTCAAGTGCCTTAGATAAAAGGATGAAAGCAGATGACGTTTTTTTACATGCTACATCTGAACTAATGGCACCACACACACACACACACACACACACACACACACACACACACACACACACACACACACACACACACACAGTTACCTATTGTTCATCTACAAATTCACCTCCTCAGACAGTGAGGGGGTGATTGTGCTCTGGTGCTTAGCCAGTATTCAGCCCTATTCAGGGTTACAGTTAATGTGTGTGTGTGTGTGTGTGTGTGTGTGTGTGTGTGTGTGTGTGTGTGTGTGTATTCATGTGTTAAGGTGAGATAAGGCCCTGACAAAGCAGAACATCCAGGCTTGCTGGCTTCCGGCTTTGCTTACATCCCGACTCCCAGTGCTTGTTAATCCAGCACATTACATATGGATTGTAATCATCGCCTCCAGCAGGATGCTGCTGCGAAGCACACACAAGCCTGCCTGCCCACCCCCACCCCCACAAGGTCCCCTGTCTGGAGAATCTCCCTGTGTTTCTGAATGATCCTTTGAAGTGGCAGTGACCTAGAAATTGGCTGATGATGAAAGAATGGCTTAAAGTGAATTAGAGTGAACTATGAATGTAATTGGTGAATTAATGTCAGACATGTTTTGTCTTTTTGAACCCTGTACTTTGTCACTTGATGTCAAATAACATCAGTCATGTTGCATTGCGGACAACATTAGGTGTCACTATTACCATGTTAGTTTTCTCTCTTTTTGTACATACAGTTGTCAGGTAACACTGAGTCAGTCTAATACAACAGTCCTGCAGTACATCCTCCTTTCTATGGTTCTAATGTTCAGTTTGTGTTGAAACTGTATTAAAGAGCTGTTGATTCAGCTGTGTGGTCATTGTTGTAGTTTGTGATGCTGTTGAACTGCATTATGTTGACAGGTGTTTCTGTTATTTTGTTCACTTCATTTATATCAGTGAGGGTGGGTTAAATGTCAGGAACATCTCAGTGTACCTCCAATACAGTTAAAAAAACACCACACACTGCAGCCTCCACAGTGATCACACAGCTGGATCAACACCTCTCTAACAATGTAATAACAACATTATAACCTTCCTTCAGGAGGGTTTACTAACTGTTGTTTTACACTGCATTATTTGTGACTAGATGAACCAAATTAACCGACTGAGTGTATAAGTATTCCTGGTTGACTTTAGGGCCAAAATAGGGCAACTTATCTGGAGACAGAAAGGTTTTTTATTGTCTCCCATACATCCCACAGAGGCTAAATGAGCTGCACTGAAAGCAGATAGACTGATTGCACATGCAGTTTTCGTATTCTTCTCCTTCATTTGTTCTGTGAGGTTTACTCGTACGAATATTCAAAGTCAGATTCATAAGACTCTCTTTACTGAACAAACATGCCAGTTTCAACTTTATGACCTGTAGGCCCACATTCCTGAGATCTGATCAATAGCATAATACATACATAGTTTTCTTTATCAGACGACCTGTTCCATTCCATATGTGGACATATTGCAACTTCACTTGACCTCTCTCATCAATAAGCTGTTTCTTTTGTAATCTACAGACTGTTTTGGAGGACCCATAAACAGAGAATTGCAGTAGTCCCACCTTGTCGTGACATGAATGAGCTTCTCTGAGTCATACTGGGACAGAAAGCCTCTGGTTCTGGAAATAATCCTGAGCAGGAAAAGGCAACCTTGATGTACTTGCTTTTCCAAAGAAGTAAATGAAACCTCTGATAAACCCAATGTACACTACCTGTTGGTTACTTAACAGCTGACCAGTAAAGTTAGCAGCTAGCAACTACTAAGTCAAATGTTTAGCAGCTAAAGAGTTAGATAATGTTTCTCAGGAGTTTGTGTTGACTGAAACAGAACTTAAGGAGGAGAGTGACTTACATTCATCAGGGGGACACAAACACCACTTTGAATTAATCATAATGTTGTTCTGTGGTCTGCTGAATGTGTGAATAGCAAACTGTTGCTGAGCTTTAACTGAGAATTTACTTGGTAAATGGTGGTGGTGGGTGGCGTGTTGCCGATGTGCATGCAGAGACTCAATGCAGCATAACTCAGGTTATGCTGCATTGCACGCTTTTGGTAGATGCTACAATATATGGATGTTCCCTCAATGCCTTGCATGCAGGCTATCAGTAGATGCTACAATTTACTGACATTCCCTAAACGCCTTGCATGCAGACAGTAGTTGGGCAGCTGCGTACAGAGAACCCTGTGGTCTCCACTAATTTAGGCAGCTCAGACAGGTGTGTGAATTAGATGATTTGAAAAGAGTGAAGTAAGGTGTGATTACTGGGCAGTTTGTCCAAGTAGAGCGCATATGCTCTCTAATGATGTTGAAGACCCTACATCTGTGTCTGGTTGGTTTCTCTGAGTTACTCTGTGTAGAGCTGAAACGTTTTGTTGTGCTGTTGTGTGTCCTGTCCTGTGGGAGCTTCCCACTTCCAATACTGGACGAGCGAACTTGGTACCAGACTCGTCTGATCTTTTATCTGCCCCCATGTTTGTGTGTTTGTGTGTCCCATCATTTGATTTTAGCTCTGGTCTTCAGAGTGTCAGTGTGTTTGGCAGCCGACCCACAGATGTTGGAGCTTTTCTCCAGAGCATGAACACACCACACACGGGTCTGACCTCCCCTTGATTGCAGTATGTCTGTGCTCTCTGGCAGGTGCATGGTTTGTGAAGCTTAAACCTGTGAGCTGAGATCAGAGGTTTAATTCCATGTGAGGGTGTGATGCTAACTCCATTATGTCCGATTTAGGTTGATCTCAGACACCGTGCTATTATCACATGACCTACATTCTTCATACTCTACATCTCCCAGGCCCCATCATACCTCCTAAAGCCAGTCTGTCCTCATTATGTCTCCTGTTAATACTGGTACCAGCTCCCTGGACACCCTGCTCCTGGCTTTGCTTCCAGCTGATTTTATCTTCTGTCTGTGGTGTGGAGATTGGATTTTGTTTTTGCACTAGCAGAAATGTGCGTCACAGTCAAAGGGGTCTTTGTCTATTCCTGAGTTATATTGTTGTAATATAGGTAATAGTAATATATAATCTTTCCCTGTCCCAGGCCAACCTGTGTTTTGTGGACATTGACAACCACTACATCGAGCTTCCAGAGGACTTTCCCCAGTTCCCCAACAAGACCGAGTTCATCCAGGAGCTCAGTGAGGTACTGCTGACTTTTGGCATCGCAGCCAACACAGGGGCCCCACCGCGGACTCGCAGCAGTCCCGGCAGCATCCCCTCCACACCGAGCAGGGAGCGTAAAGCCATGGCCCTCCAGCAGCTGGAGGATGACGGGCATAACGGCAACCTGGCAGGGGAGGAGCTCGCTGTGCTGGAGCTGTTGCAGGGAAACGCCACCCTGGAGAGGCTGCAGGCGCTGACCAAACGCACTGGCGTGACAGTGGCCCGTGTTGATGCCCTGAGGGCTGGAGTCAAAGCTCAGGTGACTGACAAGCAAGGGGGCCGAACAGCAGCTGAAGAGGAGGAGCTAAGAAATGCCAAGCTGAATGTCCAGCTTAGGGAGGTGTTCGCCAGCCGCTTCACCACCATGTTTGCTGACTATGAAGCCTTTGTGATCCAGAGCGCCCCGGACCTGGAGTCCTGGCTCACCAACAGGGAGCAGATGCACAACTTCGACAAGGTGATGAAATCAAACACAGACACAGGAAGTGTTTCATGACTGGTCTTCTTACTGCAGATGTCATATCTGAATCATTTTATTATTCTGTAACTGGATTATTTGTGTTGTACTGAAAACCAGTTTCACATTGACATGTGTTGTGTTTTCAGTATGATTAATAATGAGCTGACTTCAGAGCAGTGGAGGGCTTGTGAGTGTTTTCACAATACATCACAACATTCCCTGAGTGAATAGTGGATCATCTACTACTATTGAAAATTGGTCTGTTGTGTTGCACATCAGCTTAAGAGAAAATTTCTAAAATGACCATTTGCAGTAGTATGTTTGATATATTTAGTAATGTTTTCTTTTTAAAATAAGGTTGTTTTTGTAAAGATCTCCATCTCCTCTTTGCCATGGTTCATATTGTGTGTGCTCTTTTAAAGCACTCTGCAGACTTCGTTTATCTGCTTCACTGTGAAGGGTCTGAAGTGTTCAGTGGATGTTACTGATGTTCTCTGGGAGACTTTCACAGTGAAGCAGCTGCAGAAAGTATTTGTATTAAAGAACAAAGAACAGGTTCTTACAGTGACTGTATCAGTGGTAGATTTTCTCATTCATTTGGGACCAGCTCTTATTCACCTACATGTTTGGCTGATGTTTGAGACAAGGATGTATATACATGTATCTCCAGGCCTCTTTCCTGTCAGACCAGCCGGAGCCCTACCTGCCCTTCCTCTCACACTTCATTGAGACGCAGATGTTCGCCACCTTCATTGATAACAAAATCATGTCCCAGTGGGAGGAGAAGGAGCCGCTGCTCCGTGTCTTTGATGCTCGCATCGACAAGGCCCGTCTCTACAACGTGCGCGCTCCCAGCCTTCGATCCTCTAGCTACCAGAGGTGCTCTGTCCTCAGGGAGTCTGGTAAGCTCAGCAGGACTGTACATACTGCATGGTTCATCTCAGTGGAGAGGCTTTTCCACAGGGGAAGTGAAGCAGTAAGGCTGTGGTTGTAACAGGCTGCACATGTGTCCGACCTTCAGAGCATATTGATTACATTACATACATTAGCCGGAGTCAGAATACATGTTAACACTCAGCTCTCCCCAGTGACCACAAACCCCCTTCTCATTTCTCTGTATCCCAACACTGTCTCTCTGTCACACACACATACACACACACACACACACACACACACACACACAAACACACACACACACACACACACACACTGAATCAGAGCTGAGTCTGACAGAGACCAGGAGTCGTGTTTGCTGTGACTGCCATGTGAGCAGGAGATAGATAGTAAGAAGATAAGGCAGATGAAAGACACAGAGGGAAGGGTCAGTGTGTGGGGAGAGAGGGAGTAATGAATGGGTCAGAGGCAGGGAGAAGGTGTCTGTGCTTGTCAGATAGTCAAATGGCATATCTATTGACCACATGTGGTGGTGATTGTGTATATCCAAATGCAACACTATGAACCCCTCCCAGGACAGAAGGGTGTGTCCTGTCTCTCCCTGTGGCATCAGGTCTGTGGCTGTTTGTAATGTGCTCAGGCGCCACTTTGTATGAGCTACTTCTTTTCAAGAATACCACCTTAAATATGATGAGTAAATTTCCAGTAAAACACCAGACCCTATCGATCCTTGATGTTCTCTGACCAGCTGACTGCTGTATGTTTACATGGACTCCGGTAACCTCATGTACTCCAGCTTTTACAGCTGTTCCATTCATATGAGCAAGGAACAACTACCAACTTATTTTTTGCACTTCCATAAAGTATATAATGAAAGATTCTTCAGCAGAGGCTGTTACATTCTGAACTTTTGTTTAAATAAAACACTGGATCTTTTTCTAGATTAAGACACAAGCTGATGTATGGTTGACATACAATGTTTAATGTCTTTCTGCTGCAGGGGTTGGATTTACATCTTTTCACTTTCACTGCAAAAAAATGTCTTTATATACTTTCTTTGATATAATGAAAATTATTGCATGTGCCGGGAAATACTCAGATTTTCAATATTATTGAGTTTCAGCCCAAGATGAATGAATGTAGATTAGAACATCTACAACTTGACTTGTGTTTATTCTAACTATGACCTCATTGGAGTTACTACTCTCCCTGCAGCTCAGGCCATCGAGCAGCGGCTGATGAAGATTGATCATACAGCCATCCACCCTCACCTGCTGGACATGAAGATCGGTCAAGGCAAATATGAGCAGGGATTCTTCCCCAAACTGCAAGCCGACGTGCTCAACACAGGGCCGACCAATAACAAGTGAGTCATCCTTCATTTCCCGGTCTCATCAGACGTGTTTCCAACAGCCACTGTTTGATAAACCTGCAGTCAAAGCAGGGAGCAGCTCGTTGTGGGTGTTTAACAGTGTCACTCTGCAGGTGGTCTCATAGGACGGCGACAGCTCAGAGAAGGAAGGATCGCCACAGACAACAAACAGAGCATCTGAACCTGGACAATGACCTGAAAGAGGTAGAAGACCTTCTCAGATCTGCCCCCCCCCCGTTCTTATTTATTTATCATATTTCTGTTTGTCTTTTTCTGTCACTGACTCCTTTTGATTTCAGTTCTTTTTTTTTCTTCATGTGCATGCTGCCATCTCTGCTTTCTTTTCCATTCTCCCCTTTTGTTTCTCTCCTTTGCCGTCTGCTCGTGCGTCCCCTGCTGGTCCTCCTCCTCAGCAGGTGGAGGGCTCCAACTCCATGGCATTTTGGGAGTGGGACAATGCATCCCCTCCACCTATCAAACCACCTAAAAAATCTGCCTCTGCATCTTGCCTGGTATGTGGAGGAGTTGCCTGTGTGGACTCCCTCTCACAGACCCCCTCCACCCCCAACTCCACTCTGATCTCCACTCCTTACACTCTTAGCCAGGGTTCCCAGTTATCCTTAAACCGGTTTACTGAACTGAGTGTTCCCTCTGCAGCAACCAGTCATTAAGTTGTGTGTGTGTGTGTGTGTGTGTGTGCATCACCTGCACTGATTTAAGACTGAGCTGCTGTTAAAAAAAATGTTTGCGACAAGTATGTTGTGTTTCCTGTGGCTGCTTCACAATAAAAGCCACCTCCTGTTTCACCAGTTAAACATTTGACTGCAAGAAATGTTAATACAAATCAGCTCCACAGATGGTGTAAAGAGAGTGCACAGGGAAATCCACAGTTCAGAACCTAATAAATGTCTTTCTTCAAAATAAAACTCCTTTTTAAAGTGGCCTTTTATTGTGACCAGCCCTGTGACAGCTGATCTCATGAACATCTTTAATAAATCTTTCTACATTAGCTTTAGTGAATTATTACACTCTGTGCTGTTACTTGAATATCCAGCTGGTTAAGTTTGAGTTCAGCGTCCTGCTCTCTGTGAACACCTTCACTGTGTTACAACACAGCCAATCACTATATGTTTTTTTTTTTTTTTCTCTTATCAAACATCCGAACATCTTATTTAATCACAGCTCATAGATACTACTTGTTAACCAGCAGGCTGATAAAACACTAGTTAAGATGGTCAGGTGACAGGGAACATATATGACAGCAAACCATGCTGCGTTTGTGATGCAGTTTATACTCAAACAGCAGAGGTATGTAAAATATGTGGGCACATTTGTTAGCACAAATGAATATGTCAGAATTTTGACTTGTGCTGAAAGCATGATGCACATTGACTCCACCTACAGATGATGGCACAAGTTCAGTCGAAATAATCTGAGTCCAAAACTTTGCTGTGACCTGGTCATTGAAGTTTTCTGAGCTGGAAAGCAACATTAACCAAAGCAGAGAAGATATATCTTTACTTTTACTTCAGGGAAGCACAGGACGATCTGAACTCATCATCAGAACTTATGTCTTCACTGGGAACCCTGCTTACCTCCCAACACACCTCTAAAACATACACACACTCTGTATCACAACCTTCCTTGTTTCCTCACATCGACCCCCTCCCCTCCAGTGTTGGATCTTCACAGCTTCTCACATGAGGAAATTTGTAGATCCATCAACACATTAAAACTGTGAACTATTTTCAGCAAGTAACACTGTTCATTTTAAATGGTGTGGCACTCACCCTTAATGTCTTTCAGCCTTAATCCTGCAGAAATGATGAAACAGTTATGATATGTCTCTTAATTTGAAGTTGAAAAAGGTTCAGATTTATCTGTATTGTTCAGACTGTGCTCTCTGACTGGTTCTGTGTGATGTTCAGAAGTACATGCAGGAGGCCCGCAGCCTGGGGAAGAACCTCCGACAGCCCAAACTGTCTGATCTGTCTCCTGCCGTCATTGCTCAAACCAACTGGAAGTTTGTGGAGGGGCTGCTCAAGGAGTGTCGCATGAAGGTGAAGTACACAACCACATGAAGGTGAAGTACACGACCACATGAAAGTGAAGTAATCAACCACATGAAGGTGAAATACTCAACCACAGCAATGAGATGGGATTCATTAGTACAGTGGGTTTTTATATACTCATCCTTGCTCATGAAGGATGCATCAACATCAGACTGTCTTTGTCCTGAGTTCTGAGGTCATCAGACCAGGAGTTCCCATCTGTGATAGAAAACATGTTGATTTTTAATTGTAGCACCTTCTGTTTTGGCCCTTACCCTAATCTCTATTTAGGCCAGTCTCTGTCATTCTAACACTATCAGATACAGGGACAGACAGCTACGTCCTGATGAAATGTCATTTTTATAACCAATGGAAGTCAGAGAACTGAAGGCACTATGAATATAATTTATTGCTATAATTTATAGAAATAGTAATAATACTTCTACAGGCATGGGAAGCATACTACTAATAGACTTAAGTATTGTTTTAGTAGTTATTTTACATTTACATATGAAACTTTGTCACTTCTGCATTTTCTTTTCTTATTTAGTTTTCTCTCAGTGTAGTAGAATATTATTTATTGATTTATGCATCAATCCATTTTCTGAATTAGTGAGTTTAGGATTCAACAGCTGTTTTTCATCTTTTACACCTCACACGTCTCTGTACACACAGAGGCTTTAGAGGGACAAAAAAAACATCCAGACGTTCTATTCAGGCCATGTGGTTCATATTCCATTGATTGTTCTAACAGTATGCGCGTGTGTGTGTTCAGACCAAGCGTATGCTGGTGGAGAAGATGGGCCGGGAGGCAGTGGAGCTGGGCCATGGGGAGGCTAACATCACTGGACTGGAGGAGAACACTCTGATCGCCAGCCTGTGTGACTTACTGGAGAGGATCTGGAGCCACGGGCTGCAGGTCAAACAGGTTAGCACACACACACACACACACACACAAACATAAACATACAGGGAAGCATACATGACTCTGTTTCTATCTTTTAATGAGATTTATGATAAAGAACATGTTGTGATATAAACACACTGTGGTTAATCAGGTATTTATGAACATATTGAGGCTGATGATCACACTTCACCTTCCTCCTCAGTAACCATGTTATGTTGTTGTGTTTTTATTGTGACATCTCTGACCTCCAGGGGAAGTCAGCCCTGTGGTCCCACCTGCTGCACTACCAGGCTCGAGAGGAGAAGCTGGAGCAGCAGCAGGCCGAGTCACCATGTAACACATACACACACACACACGCCGTGTCTCTCCAACAGACATATATCTGAGTGTAACACATGCATTCTCTCATGTATTTTTCCTGAACAGTGTCACATGTTCCTGAGAGAAGGAAGTCTGATTGCTCCATATCGCTGTCGTGTCTCCGTGTGTCTCTCATACAGGACATGAGGTACATGCTGCTGTCCTCTCGAGACAAATCCACAAATTCTCCTCAGATCATTTACAGACATTGAGTTGTAGGTTGATTTCAGATAGAGCTCATTGCTGTGAGCAAACATTAAGAGGCTACAGGTGAAACACATTGTTGTTCGTGCCTCATAAAGTCACTGTGGAGTCATGTGGAGGTGGTTCATGTTGATCCTTGTACTTAAGTGTTTGTCCATTCTTCAGTGCTTGACAGCAACTGCCCACAAAGGTCAGAAGGTCAGCACAGCTCAGGTCAAAGTTCAGCAAGTTTAAACTTTTGATGCACCATGCACCACACACACAATAATGGAGGAGAGATTTTCATGATACTGCAAATATGCCGAAGTTCTCCCCCATTCATTTTCTATGGGACATGAGCAATTCATTTTGCAAGGCATTAATTAATTTTTATAAACATGAAATTTGCACTGGAAGCTCTGTAGAGATTTACCAAAAACAAAGACAGAGTGTGGTAATGGTGAAACAGGATGTTTACTGTGTATTGTTGCGTAACAGCTGCAGAAACAGTATACACTGTGGTACAGAGTCAGTGAGGATCAGACTGATCTGTTTGCTATGAGCCTTCATCACTCCGTCCTCTGTCTCTTCAGGCACATCCGGAGCATGTCTGAGATTAAGACGGACGTGGGCAGAGCAAGAGCCTGGATCCGTCTGTCCCTGGAGAAGAAGCTGCTCTCTCAGCACCTCAAACAGCTGCTGTCCCGACAAGCCTTAACCAAGTGAGCACACACACACACACACATACACACACGTGCGCACGCGCACACACACACACACACACACACACACACACACACACACACACACACACACACACACACACACAGATGAATCAGTGTAAACCAATCACAGCAACGCAGAAATAAAGACAAACTCAATGTTATATCGAAGGTGTGACATCCATAGGTTTGAAGTGAAAGCTTTAGGTCTACATCTCATCTACAGGTAATATTACAGGTCTGTCTCTTCCATGGTGGGTTAAGGTTGATCAAAGGTGGGGAAGTGGACCATATTATTTTTTCCTTACCCTTGAAGTGGAACATATTGTGGCGTCTTCTTTGCCTCACTGTGGTTCACAGGCCAGAATGTAGGTGCACTGGTTGTGTTTCCCTGACAGCCACAGGGGGCAGCAGTGAGCAAATTTGAAACTGCACTCAAAAACAAGCTTGGACAGATCAGACACAGGTGAGATTTCACAAAGTGCTTCACAATCAACATTCAATAAAAAAATTTTTCAAAGAATTACAATCAATTACATCAAATAAAAAAAAAGATTTAAAAAAAAAAATACAATAGGAGAAACACATGTAGGACACTGGTTGAAAGCATAAAATACCACACGTTACCTAAAAGCCTGTCTAAACAGATGGGTATTCAGTTATTTTTTTAAAAGAGGCCACAGAGTCCAAGGATCTCAGATTTGGTGGGAGACTATTCCAGAGAAGGCAGTCACCGCGGGTCTTAAAGCGTGTGTGTGGTAAATTTTAAAATGGATTCTAAAATTAATGGGAAGCCAGTGCAGGGAGGTTAAAAATCGGTATTTTGTTAAAAGCCTGGCAGCAGCATTCTGGACAGTTTGCAGGCACTGTAGGGAAGATTTGGTCAGACAGGTAAAAAGGGAATTACAATAATCTATACATGATGAGATAAAAGCATGTATTAACATCTCCATTTAATTTTGTGATACCACAGGTCTGAGGTTGGCTATATTTCTTAAATGGAAAAACCACGACCTTGTCAGTGTTGTAATGTGTGCATCAAAACTCATGGACTGGTCAAAAATAATGCCAAGATTGCACAGACTGGGTTGAGAGGAGGATGACAGGTCACAGAGGTTCTGCTTGATTGCTGATTGGATATGGTCAGTATCTTCTGCTAATTTCAGTATTAACTGGATTTAACTGTAGGAAGTTGTTCCACATCCAGTTTTTAATGGCATTTAAACAGTTGGTCAATGTAGAGAGTTTGTGGAACTTGTAGGGTTTAAATGAAAAACAAAGTTGGATGTTTTCGGCATACAAATGGTAGATGTTGTTAAAATCACAGAAAATTTTTCCTAGTGGCAGCATGTATGTAGAAAATAAAATGGGTCCTAAGACCGATCCCTGAGGAACACCACATGTAAGGGGAATAGTGGCCAATGGAGCCAGTGGAGTTAAAAGCCTTTAAAAACAGAAAGGTTGGTAAAACATCTAGCGGGCTTGAGGAGGCCTTCAATTGTCCATTCAAGGCTGAAACATCATCTATGGACACAGGGCAAAAGAAATCCAGGATGGGTGGTTTTGACAAGCCACTAGTGAGGTGAGTGGATAAGGGTGTAAAATTTGCCCTTACATTTACCACCTTCTCTATAAAATATTTAAGAAAGGTATTGCAGTTACTGTTTGAAGAGATTGGCAAGTTCGGGGTGCTGGGAGAGACAATGGGATTTATGGTGTCAAACATGACTTTAGGATTTCTCTTATTGGAGGATATAAGAATTGAAAAGTAAGCCGCTCTCTCAGCCTTCACCAAGTCATTGAAAGTGCACATGAGTCCTCTAAGATGCAGCCTGTGAACTACAAGTTTTGTGGCTTTCCACAAGCGCTCAGTCTTTCTGCTTTTTTGTCTAAAACTCTGGATGGTGTCATTTATCCATGGTTGTGGATTTTTGTCTTCCTGTATTTAGAAGAAGCCACATCCTCATCTTTTAAAACGGTATTGCTATCAAAAGCCAGGGCAAAGTTGACAGCTGCAGCCTAATTTAAATATAGGTGCGCTTCATATGAGGACAAGGCTGAGGCTCCAGTGTAGGACAAATGTCAAATAAAATACATTTGTGGTCACTGACACATAGGTCTTTAAGAACAACATATTCAATATCAATGTCATGAGAAAAAACAAGGTGCAGTGTGTGTAGAGCCTCATACATGTTGCTTAAAATTGTGGGACTCAGTGAGGTTAAGAAAGGCAGAGGCAGCATTACATGTGGGGTCATCAATGTGAATATTAAAATCTCCAAGCATTAGGACCTTGTTCAACATTATTATAGATGATAAAAAGTCTTCAAAATCTGATAAAAAGGAGCCAATTGGTCCTGGACATCAGTAAATTAATTAATTAATTAATAATTCAAGTCAAGAATTATTGACTTATTAAACTAATTCCTATTTATTGTATTAATTAATTAATACAATAAAGGTGTACTGATAAAAGAGCAGTCTCCAGGACAAAGCTCAATCAAATGCAAGTAGTACACATTCTGCTGCCAAGTTTCAGTTAAGAGCATGACAAAAAGGTCATGCAGTATGAATGATTTATTGCCAATTGAGCATGAATTTATCAGTAATAATGGTCTGTATGAGATGTCCGCTGAAACTGGTAACGACAGGTAAGGTCTGTAGGGGAGGTTGGTACGAGAAACAGTACTATGAGCCGCCACTACAGGGGGAGAAGAAAACGATGAAGAGCGCAGTTCCAGAAAGGGGGTGTGGGATGTCAACAGTCAGTCACATGAAGCTGATTGGACAACATGCTGCATGTTAGCATTTGGCTGCCCAGCCTGTTAGGGTGGACAAACAAGGAATGGTTCCAAAACAGGTTAAAATTGTCAATAAAACCAATGATATGAGCTCTACAGGTGGACTGGAACCAGGTGTTGAGGCTGAGAACTCTGCTAAAGTGCCCTGTTACTCGGGCCAGTGTTGGGAGGGGACCACTGATAAAAGCAGACTTCCTTGTTATTAAAAATACTAAAAAAAGGACATTAAAATAGTCAGCTTTTAGTCAGCTCAGACTGCTGGCAAGCTGTGTCGTTAGACCCCAGAACCCAATTTATAGTGGGTGGGAGTGAGTGCAGCAGCCCGGGGAGTTTATTTAGAATGACCATGACTGTGGCCCCGGGGAAAGTATGTGGCTGTGTTGAAAAAACAGGTATTTTCTGATTATGGAGTCCCCAACTATTAATGTAGTTGGAGAGAAGAGAGCACGAGAGGGTTCTCACGGAAGGAGAGTGCAAGGTCCATACAATGTGTCTGGGCAAGTCAGAGCAGCTGTGACAGTGAAGAGGCAGCAGCATCAGTCCTGGGGGAGGGGTTCCCCGCTGAGTCCCAGTGAGGAAGGCCGATGGAGCACCGGAGCACAGCCTACTGTAGGATCCTGTGGGGAAGAAGAGATTGCAGACATTCAGCTTGATAGCAGTGACTCTCTGATATCCTCCTTAAGGTTGGTGATCTTTAACATCTGTTTCACCTTCCCACCTCCAATAAAAAAAAACCACCTTGAACTTTTTAATGCGAAGCATCTGGAGCTGCCTTCAGAGGACTTTTCTACATAACCTCAGTGAGAAAAGAGTGGAGCACACCGATCCATTCACAGCCTGTAACAAACGTCTTACCAGTCAAAGAGGACAGAGGCATCACACACATTACAGTCAACCTGGGACAGGTGTAGATTTGTGATGAGGCAGAAGGTGCAACAGGAATTCAAAGCTATTGGATATTAGATGCAAGGGCAGGGATTACCAGTGTCACTTTTGACAGTGTTTTAGAGACAATCAGCAGATAAAACATTAAATGACACCTGTCTGTGAAGATGACCTGTGCTTTGTCTGCTCCACCCACAGGAATTTGTATAAACGTTACGCCTTCCTGCGCTGTGAGGAGGAGAAGGAGCAGTTCCTCTTCCACCTGCTGTCGCTCAACGCCGTCGACTACTTCTGCTTCACTAGCGTCTTCACCACCATCAGTGAGTTCAGCTACGTCAGATCAGATTCACACCACACCCTGATGACAGGTCACAGGCTGAACATACAGCATTAATGAATCTAATACTGGTAGAAACACTTCAGAGACATAGGGACAGGACAGAGCTGGGTTCTAGTTGTATGTCATTCCCTCTCTGCCCTGACCTTATCCTACTATCACCATAATATAAAGCAGAAATTCCAAAAAAAAATGTAAATCCAAACCTACTACTAGAAAATATATTGGTGAAGTAGATCCAACTGTTCTATGGGACTCAGTGAAGGCAGTGAGTCATCTGAGGTGAACTGACAGTGTGTGTATGTGTATATGTATATATGTATATGTATATGTACGTATATGCGTATAGACATACATACATATATATATGTATATATACTGTGTATATATATATATATATGTATATATATATATATATATATGCATATATATGTATATATATAGTGTGTGTGTTACATTAACCCAGTTATACATTCAGCCTAATTAGTCCTTCTCTCTGTTCTAACACCGATATGTTTGTCCTGCAGTGATCCCGTACCGAGTTGTCATCATCCCCATCAAGAAGCTGAGTAATGCCATGACTACCTCCAACCCCTGGGTGTGTGTGTCAGGAGAGCTGGGAGACTCAGGTATCATGCAGATCCCCAAGAACGTCCTGGAGATGACCTTTGATGTGAGTAATGTGACCTTTGACCTCTAATGTAGCTGAGCACATAATCACTGGGGTGTGGTCTTACTTGTTTTTATAGTGTAGTCGATCACGTCTGTTGTGATGTAGTCACCAAATATTTGGAGCCTGGTGACACTGAGGCAGTAAACCTGAGCAGTCTTGACTTTCATCAATGTCCCCCAGTCCAGACTGTAGTTCTGTCAGCTCCTGTAACCGAGTGTCACCACCTGCTGGTTAGTAAAGTCCAATAAAAACTTCTATAAATGGGGAGATGGATGAAAGGTTCTGCACCTGACTACAACATTTCATCCTTGGAAGAAAATATTTTAAATCAAGCTTTTACACATCGAAAGGGAATAGACTTAAAAACATAATATGATGACTGAGGTTGCAGCTACAGATATAACATGAAGTGGATCAGTGATGTCACTGTAGTGCACACAGTGAGGACATTGACATTAGATAGATAGATAGATAGATAGATAGATAGATAGATAGATAGATAGATAGATAGATAGATAGATAGATAGATAGATACTTTATTTATCCCCTAAGGGAAATTCATGTGTCCATTAGCTCATTGTTGATAATAATAATAATAATAATAACAGTCGATAATTAGTTCTAATAGTAATGGATAAACTGATGATTAAATGAGTAGCAGGGAGACTGGGAATCTAACTAAGGACATGCCTGTGTGAGTGTAAGTTTGCACTGGTGAAGTTTCCTTGTCTGTTTGCTGTGATGATGTTCTGTGTTTTTTTATTGTCCATCCATTGCGTCTTAACACATGTCTCCATCTCCCTCAGTCTGCTTTCAGGCCTCACACACACATCTCCATCTTGTTCAAGGTTAGAGGACCCCCCCCCCCCCCCCACA